TAACTCATCAATTCTTCTATGGTCTTCCTTATTCACTGTCCAGCTTTCACATGCACATGAGGTTACTGAAAATACCATGGCTTGGGTCAGGCGTACCTTAATACAAAGCTGACATCTTTGTTCTTCAACACTTTAAAAGTAGAGGGGCTCTTAAATCAATCTCTTCTGATATGAAAGGGCAGATTAAGCAAGCAGTCAGAGATGAGAGAGGATGGGTACCAGGTCACCAAGGGAAGATCACCAAGGGACCAAGAGCTAGAAGCTTGAGTCAAAACCAATAGAGAGAGAAAGCCTGGTCCTAGAGGCAGAGCCCTGAATTCTAACTTCTAGCCTCCTAAACTGTGACAAGGACTGCTAACCACAAGGTTGGTGGTTCAAACCCACCAGCAGCTCCTTGGAAACCCTACATAGAGTTGCTAGGAGTTGGAGCCGACTTGAAGGCACTTAACAATAACAACAAACAGTGACAGACTAAGTGTCTGTCTGTTAAAGCCACCCATTTGTGGTGTTTTTGTTTCAGTAGCACTGGAAAACTAAGACAGACAGGAAATCAGGAGGCAGGGCTGAATTACCCAAGGTAGCACAGTGGAACCAAAGAGGAAGGGTTTCTGATCACCCCAGGCTGTAAATCTATGATCTTCAGGACCCTGACCCCCTAAAAGAACTTAATAAATGTTTGCTGGGTCCCCAGTGGGTGTTGTAGGATAAGCACTGGACAGCAACGTTGATTTGATTTGAAGCGCTCTTCAGGAACCCTATACAGGGTCGCTAGTTACACCCTCGGAAACCCTGTACAGGGTCGCTATGGGTCGGAACCGACTCGACGGCACTTAACAACAACAACAACAAGGAGTCAGAATCCACTCAACAGCATTTTAACAACAATACTGAACTCCTCTGGAAACTGAGGTTCAATTGTACCCAACAGAGGCACACTGGCAGTGGAAACAGGGTGAGTCACATTCCTTCTTAAGAAGCTGGTATGTCTTCATTTGAAAAACAATAGCTGCAGCTCTTGCCTGTCCACCTGGCTGGGCCTGGGCTGTGCTAATAACCACCCAGTGAGACAGTCCTGAAGCAGGAGCTGCTGCTCCCTAAACATCTCAGCCTGCGGTAAGGGAGTCCCTGGCTCCTAAAGAGTTCCAAGCCCCAGTGCCAGACAGGGCCCCAACCTCTCTCTGGGCCTTCGTGTTTAGACATACAGAGAGGGTCTAACTTCTGGGAACACAAAACAAGAACAAAACCTGCAATCTGCCATGAATTTAGATAATAAGGGTAGTTTGGGAAATGAGATCTAAATGCAAAAGAACCAAAGCCAAAAGCGATCTCAAGGACGGCTGAGGACTCTGGACTCAGGGACTCAGGGAGGGAGAGTGCCTATGTGCTGGCGGCGGGGGTGAGGGGGTGGGAGCTGGCTTGTGGGTTGTACCGTTTGGTTGTTTGATGATGCATGGAGGGGATTGTAATCATTGCAATGAAATGAAACACGATAGGATGAATATTAAGCCAATGTTCTCCCATGTAAACTATCACTCAATTCACAATAAAAACTTTTTTTTAAAAAGAGGATCTCAGGGACAGAGAAGAGAAAGAAATGGGTATTCATGTGGGAGGCAGGCGCAGGGCATATCTGGGCTTACTTATTAAGGGAGTCCATTGGAAGGAAAGGTTGGGCTCAAGAGCAAATACCTGCATTTCATCTGGTTTCACCAGGGCTTTTCCATCAATCAAAGTGATATGGAATACTCTATAAAGAGGGCTCCTCCCTGCAGGATAAGGAGCTCTGGTGGCACTGTGGGATAAGTGCTGGATTGCTAACCACAATGTTGGTAGTTCAAACCCACATCTGTTTCAAGGGAGAAAGATGAGGCTGTCTGCTTCCAAAAGGTTTAGAGTCTCAGAAACTCTATATAGGGTCACTATGAGTTAGAATCGGCATGATGGCAGTGAATTTACTTTGGATTTTCTCTGCAGGGAAACTCTTGTTTTTCAACAATTTGGATTAGCAAGTCATGTTACATTGAACAAACCTCCAGGATTATATGTGCACTGGCATTTGAAACCCACCAGGTAGAGATGAGGACGGCCTCAGGGGTCAGTCTGTCCTCAGTCCAATGTGACCTATGTAGCTATCATCCATTGAACAAAAACACTTGTTGTACACCTCCCATGTGCCAGGCTCTGTTCTAGATTCTAGCGATACAAAATCCTAACAATTCTAGCGATACAGAATTCCAATACAAATCCCAACCCCACAGAGCTGATAACCTGTTGGGAAGTCAGACCCTAAGAATGGGGTGAATGCTGTGTGGCAGCTGCTAAAACGCACCATGGTGGAGGCAAATCAAAATGGGAAGGGCAGACCATCATAAATGAAGGGCACCATTTTAGATAGTCAGCTATTTATTGAGCATTGTCTGTGTGCTCACCCCTGTCTCCAATCTCCCCATCTGGGAAATGAAGGGAATGAATGACCTACCATGTATCAGGCACTAGACCAACTGCTGGAGACAGAGGGGAAAGAAGGTCAAAGTCCTTGTCCTGGTGAAGCTTACATTCATCAAGGAAAAGCTGAGTACACTAGAGTCCAGGGGTGGGCCAGAAATAGCAGACTGAGGAGACAGACGGGTAGAATTGTGGAGAATCGCTGCATTCATTAGGTATGTTAGAACTGAGACTCTAGGGAAGTGAGAAAACAAATAATGTAGACACTTGGGAAAAGACTATTCCAGGCAAGGGCTAGCAAGTGCAAACGTCCTGTGGTAGTCACAAGAAAGCCAATACCGTTAGAGTCTCATAGTCAAGAGAATGTGGCAAGAGATGAGGGCAGGTAGGTCTTCAGGAATGTGAACAGAAAAGGCTTCGTCAGCTTTTATGAAATGAGAAGCTAATGAAGGACTTGAGGAGTACTGTGAACTGATTAGACGGCTTTAAAGGGTCACCTGTTTGGTAGGCTGAGCACAGATTGTAAGAGGCAGGTATAAACCAGGAAGCAGTGAGGAGGCTACTGAATGATTCACATGAAATATAGGCTGTGCTTTGGTGGTCTGTGGGGAGTGCAAGGTAGATGTAACAGAAGTGGTAAGAAGTGTGGCCTTGTCTACGTCTTCTAATGGCAACGCCAACAGAGTTGCTGATGAACTGGATATGAGATGCACAGCAAGGTAAAAACCCAAGGATCGTTTCAAAGGTTTAGCCTGAGCAATTGGATGGATAGAGATGTCGTTTACTGAAGTGAAGGCTGCAGAAGGTAGAGGGAATCAGGAATTGAGTTGGGGATATGTTAAGTTTGAGATCCTTGTTAGATAGACACCCATGTGGAAATGTAGACTAAGCCACTGTAAAGAATCTGAGAACTCAGGGAGATGCTTTGGTTAGAGAAATAAATTTGGGAGATGTCAGTATTCTAGGCGGTACTGAAATCCCTAAGACATGTGGAGACATCTAGAGAATGAATGGAGACAAG